TAGCCGAAGGCAGGGACTCAATATCCGCAATATGGTTATTCTGCTAACAGCATAAGATGTTAGTATATACTAACATGGTCGGATTTGAGGCCACGTAGGCGAGCCGCGATCGGACGGTGGAGGGGAGAAGAGCAGCTTGTGGCTCGGCTGAACCAAGTCTCTTCCTTTTTTTTTTTTACAATTCAAAAAACCCTCCCTTTTCATTTATGTTTAATTTTCTTTTCTCTCTCCATAATTTCATTTGCCTTTCTCTCCCACTCTCCAAAACTGTCGACTGCTCTCTTCTGTTCTTCTTCTTCTTCCTCTCTCTCTCTCTCCCAAATAATTCAAAATACCTCTCGACAACGACGGGTGTGAGAAACACGACGCCGGCGACGAGGGCTACGGGCAGGGAGAAGACGGCGGTGCTTGGCAACGCCGGTAGCGGTGCTTGAAGAAAGACGAAGTCGGCCGAGCAAGAAGGAAGACATCGACGCTAGTAGCGCGAGGAAGACGACTACACCAGCTGCGAAGAGAAGAAAGTTTTTGAGGCAAGCGTCTTCCTTTGATGTAGGTGTTTTGGATCTGAGATTCATTGTTAGGGATCTGGGATTCTTGTCGGGGGATTTGAGATTCGATTTGGGGGATCTGGGATTCTTTTGATTTGGGGGATTTGGATTTCTTTCAATTTGGGGGATCTGGGATTTTCTGTGGCTGGATAACATATATTTTATTTAGGGGGGATCTGGGATTTTCTGTGGCTGGATTACATATATTTGATTTAGGGTTTCATAGATTCGACTGGATCTGAGTTTTTTTTTTTGCTTCGTTTTTTGGATCTGAGATTCATTGTTAGGGATCTAGGATTCTTGTCGGGGGATTTGAGATTCGATTTGGGGGATTTGGGATTCTTTCGATTTAGGGGATCTGGGATTTTTTTGTGGCTGGGATTTCTTTCGATTTGGATTTCTTTTGATTTGGGGGATTCATTTTTTGATGTCGGTATTGTTTGGAGTTTCTGGATTTTGCTCGTTAATTTGATATTCTTTTACCTGGAAAATTGTTTAGCTGACATGGGATACCATTTAGTTTAATGTGGATATTGTTTGGTGGTTGATTGTCCGGATATTGGTTATGTGATGCATAGATAGTTGTATGCTAGGTATGGATATTTTTATGCCCTGTATGGATATTAGTTCAATGATATTAGCTATTTCTAGGAATTGTCCAAGATGACAAAATCCAAAAGGTGTTCGATGCCAGCTCCTCCAAGAGAAGGGGAGGCGGAGACACATCACTGGCTCAATCCAGAGGCATCATGCTGGGAAAACAAAGATTTTGACAACCTTGACCTAAATTAGGTACATAGATGTTGTCTTTGCTTCTTAAGTGACATGGTTGCATATAGTAAACTAAATATTTTACAACATATGTAGCTTGCGGCAATGGAGTCAATGGTTGAGAGCATGATCCAAATGTGGAGGGCTTGGGACGACGCGCTCAAAAAAATTATCAAGCGTCAGCAAGACAATAGTTGAACTATTGCTTTCTCATTTCTTATGTGGTTGTGCTTTTTCGGATTTGAAATTCATGGATTGCCAAGTTGTAATGACATTAAATACTAGTTTTATCGCGATTTGTCTATCAAATGACTCTTTTTATTAAGAATTCTAGTTTTTTATTCTGGAATATTATTTGCTCGTCGAAAACACATCCCCACAAAACAAATATCCAAACCACTCAAACTAATATCCGACTATCGCACTAATATCCGTTATCCATTACAAATATCCATACTACCCAGACTAATATCTCACCGTCTCATACTAATATCTAATCATCCCGAAATTAATATTCTCACTATCACAGACTAATATGTGACCACATATCCAGCCATATTCTCTTAATTAGCAATTATCATAGGTTGAAAAAGACCTTACTTTCACTATCCATAATAATATCCTATCACTGGAGACAAATATCGAACTACCCTAAACACTAAACCAAAACTCCAAACTTGAAACTCTGACCCTAAACCATAAACCCGAATCCTAAACACTAAACCAAAACTCGAACTCTAAACCTGAAACACTAACCCTAAGCTCTAAACACTAAATTGGTTTAATCAATTTCTGATGGTATAAATTCAACGACTCTGAATTGGAAATGAAAAACAACTCAACAAGGACATCAAGGAACATCGACACAAACCAATCCATGTAAAAGCCACAAACCTTGTCATACACGTCCACATAGACACCCTTCTAATATCCATTCATTGCAAAACTAATATCTAATATCCACACAAATATCCAAACACATGAACTAAAGGAATATTTTCTCAGGTTCAAATAAATATCCACACAACCCGGACAAATATCACAATATTTTAAATAAAAATCCTGTGGTTAGTAAAAAGTATTACAACTTGGAACGACAAGTATCCACAACACACTAACTAATATCTTACATTTGTACCCTATACCCTAAACCATAAACTCTACACTCTAAAACCCTAATCACTAAACACTAAAAGATAAAACTATTATTGTTTGCCCAAGCCGAGAATATTCAAAGGTTCCACACAAATATCCAAACTCATGAACTAAGGGAATATTTCCTCAGGTTCCAATAAATATCCACATAACTCGGAGAAATATCAAAATATTTTAAATAAATATCATGTGGTCAGTAAAAAGTATTAACACTAGGAAAGACAAGTATGCACAACACACTAACTAATATCTTACATTTGTACCCTAACCCTAAACCCTAAACTCTAAACTCTAAAACCCTAATCACTAAACACTAAAAAATAAAACTATTATTGTTTGCCCAAGCCGAGAATATTCAAAGGTTCCACACAAATATCCAAACACATGAACTAAGGGAATATTTCCTCAGGTTCAAATAAATATCCACACAACCCAGACAAATATCAAAATATTTTAAATAAATATCTTGTGGTTAGTAAAAAGTATTACAACTAGGAAAGACAAGTATCCACAACACACCAACTAATATCTTCTATTTGTACCCTAACCCTAAACCCTAAACCCAAAACTCTAAACTCTAAAACCCTAATCACTAAAAAATAAAACTATTATTGTTTGCCCAAGCCGAGAATATTCTAAGGTTCCACAAAAACACTAACACTAACACTCTAATCACTAAACTCTAAACCATAAAAACTATTATTATTTCATATGCTTAAATAAACAAAGGATCACATCGGAATAGTTACCAAAAGTGTCCCATTAGAATATCCAAACGTCCCAAAAAAATATCTGAAAACATGAACTAATGAACCCTAAATACTAAAACTAAAACGAATATCCACACTACCCAGAGAAATATCCACACCACCCAGTCTAATATCCTTCTGTCTTAGAAGAATATCATGTGATCCCAAAATGGATATTATCACTATGACAGACTAATATCCACCACATACTTACTAATATATGATAGTTGTAGACTAATCCGAATAGTTACCCAAAGTGCTAGATGCTTAAATAAACAAAGGATCACATCGAAATAGTTACCAAAAGTGCCCATTAGAATATCCAAACTTCCCAGACAAATATTCGAAAGCACGAACTAATATCAATTCAACCAAAAGCTAATATCCGAACCACGTAAACTAATATCCACTCATTGCAAACGACCACAAGACTAATAATTAAACCTTTAACCCTAAAAAAAAAATTCTAAACCCTAACACTAACACCCTAATTACTTTACCAAAAAAGCCCTATTAGAATATCCAAAAGTCCAAGAAAATTTTCGAAAACATGAACTAATATCAATTCAAACCTAAGCTAGACCCTAGACCCTTAACATTAAATCGTAATAAAAACCCTAAACCATAAAAATATTATTATTTAATGGGCTTTCGACCCATGGGCCCTCGGCAGGCAGCCCTAACTAAGGTTGCAAGCCTTACGTGTTAGGAATTCCTAGTGTGTTTAATTTGATGTAAGAAACAATATTCAAATCCTTCACAAATTGAAAACCGAACCATAAACCCTAAAACTTAAACTCTAAATTGGTGTAATCAGTTTCGGGGGGTTGGGTTATTTTGGGGTTTGGTAAATATTAATTTAATGATGGATATTGGTTTGCGAAGGAAGAATACTAGTTCATTTCAACAATGATGCAAAGTAATATCAACACAACACATAATAATATCGACTGAAAACAAATAAATATCCACACAAACAAACATACATAAATATCACATGGGGTCCAAAAATTTCGTTCTCTTTCCACTCCAACCCAAAATCCCGCCCAAACTGAAGCCGGCCCACCACGCCACTTGCTCTGCTCGCCTTCTGCGCCGCACGCTGGGCCGGCTTCTACACGGAAGCCCATCTCCAGCTCATTTAAGTGAGCCACCACCCCGCCGCCTCTCTCCTCCGTTGGATGAAGCCCAAGCAGACGTGGCCCAAAATCTGACCCTGTGAGTATCTGCTAACGAATAATGCAGTTAGCAGATTAACTTCAAGGCAATATACGTGCCAACAAAAATGAGGATCTGCAAATATTTCAGATTGTTGATGCCGGTTAGGAAAGCTCTTCAGGTTGCGACATCCACTTATATTAAGCACAAAAAAGCCAGTCACAAGCTGGGAGATTTCCGGCAAACTTTCAATCAACGGGCAATCTTCGAGGAAGAGCGCTTGAGAATCCACGTTCCAGATATTCCTTGACAAGATCTTGAGTTGGGAGTTGCCAACCAACAACAATCGACCAAATCTTGGCAAAGAAGCCAGCTGATGATGATCATCACCATCATAACAATCCATCTCTGTTATTGTGGTATGGCACAGCCGCAACACTTCCAAGCTTGTTGTGATCGCGGGGAAGCAGGTGATTTGTTTGCCGCAGAGAAGCTGTCGGCCACCCTGCTTGATATTGTAAATTGCACGTGGCAAGGCTTGTGACACGTGTCTCCGTTAAATTCAAAATCTCTTAACTCTGTTGAATTAATCTCAGGACAACGAGTGACCTTGGGGCAGTTGGATAAGTGAACCTTATTGAGGAACTTTGAGTTGAGTTTCGGAGGAAGGCTCCGCAGATTTGTACAGTCATCGAAGTCCAGTACTACCAGTTTGTCCATATCTTGAACGTGAGATGGTAGTTCAATCAGCCTTTTGCATCCTTCGAGAAAGAGGTGCACCAACTTCGGAGACCCCGATAGATTTGGGACCGCAACTAAATTTATAAAGTGAGAGAGGTCAAGCCACACTAGATTCACAAGCTGTGCTGCAAAACAACAAGAAGACTAAAATATGATTATCTCTCTGTAGTTATGGCAATGGGTCGGGGCTTAGGTAACCAGTTCGTGGAGAGAGAGCGAGAGCGGGACCGTGAGCGCGTATATTTCTAAGGAATTTGATATTACAATTAATTCATTATTTTAGCATAGTTAACATATATTATGCAATATAATCATTAAAATACATGCCTAGAATGCAATGAGTAAGGAATTTGATGACTAGTATATAATTTAATTGTGAGTACCATATAGTAATTGACCTTTAATATATATATATATATATATATATATACATATATGGTGCCTTCTACGGTACCCCGGGTGAAATCCGGGGTACCGCATACCTTAAGTACGAAAACGCTATCTAGACCTCGAATTAGCAAGAATTTTGGGCATGATACTATACCCTAACCCTTAATGAGTGAACCCTAGGTCCTAATTATCTAAATCATAAACTATAAACCCTAGGATGGTGTATTGATTTTTTTGCCTATATTTGGACGAATCATGACCGTCGATTATTGTTTCTAATTAAATTGATCTTGGGGTATAAGATTTAGAGAATTAAGACCTAGATTTTGATCTTTAAGGGTTAGAGTATAGTATCATGTCCGAATGATAAGTCAATTCAATTCTAGATAGCGTTTTCTTACTTAAGGTATGCGGTACCCTGGATTTCACCCGGGGTACCGTAGAACTCCCCATATATATATATATATACATATATATATATATATATATATATATATATATATATATATATATATATATGGTAGCTTTTTTGGTGCACTCACTTTTTTGGGTGCATTTAGTGCACTCGCTTCATAACAGTCATTTTAAACATGCTATTTATGTCAAAATGATGGCAATCATCACTTATGATGTGATGAACAATAACGCACATGAATTTGCACAAAAACCATTAAAGATTTACTTTAATTTGAAGGATTTAGAGTTTAGAGTTTTAGGGTTAGGGTTTACAATTTGGGGTTTAGGGATAGAACTCAAAATTGGAGGCCTAGGGCTTAGGTTAATCGGCTAATTAGTTGTTATCATATGTTATATCAACATATTACACTAATTCTACAAATTAAAATACAAAACCCGACACCTTAAGACTAGTTTTTGAGGTGGGTGCATTGAACGCACTCATTTATGTGAGTGCACCGAAGTAGTCACCACATATATATATATATATATATATATATATATATATATATATATATATATATATATGGGGAGTTATACGGTACTCAGGGTGAAATCCAGGGTACCGCATACCCTGAGTATGAAAACGTTGTTCAGACCATGAATTGGCTAATCTTTTGGACATAATACTATACTCTAACTCTTAAAGATCAAAATCTAGGTCTTAGTTCTCTAAATCTAATACTCCAAGATCAATTTAAATAGAATAATAATCGACGGTTATGATTGGTCAAAATAAAGGCAAAAAATGAATGCACCATCTTAGAGTTTATAGTTTATAATTTAGTTAATTAGGAACTAGGGTTCACTCATTAAGGGTTGGGGTATAGTATCATGTCCAAAAATCCTGCTAATTCGAGATCTAGATAACATTTTCATACTCAAAGTATGTTGTACCCTGGATTTGACCCGGGGTACCATAGAAGGCACCATATATATATATATATTAATTAGTATAAAAATCCTAAACCTAAATCACTATCACAGACAACACACGTGAGCCCCATCTTCTCCCTTTCTTTTCCGCCGCTCCTCTGTCTTTCCATCAATCACCAGAAAATTAATCCCCCTTTCTCTCTGGGTTGGTAGAGCTTTGTAGCTAAAAGCTTTAGCCTTCCAAATAAACCCAGATCTCAACGAGCTTTAGCCTCTTCTTCTCTGTTACAACTATGAATTCCAAACACTTCCAATCAGAACCAAACACACATGAATCCCCCTTCACCTTCTTCTTCCTCTCTATCTTCTTAGGGAATCAATGTTTCCTGGTTTCAACTCAGACCACCCTGAATAAATAGCTCCATGTCACCAGGCGATCATCATCCACAAAAGCTTCTCTACTCGAGTCCCCTCTCCATCTCCCCTGCTTCAGCAGGCGATCATCATCCACAATGATTCCTCTGAAACTCAACATGCAGTTAAACTCAGTGAATCATACTGCGATATTATCAATTGCAAACTAAATATTATTCCCACCAAAGTTCAATACCTTCCTAATCAACAAATTCCCTTTCTTTCCGACTTCCCCCATCAATCAATTCTGGGATTCCGTCTCCTGCCTTAGATCGACGGGCATCATCTCTGAATTTCTCACCGAATTTGTCTTTGTTAATGAAGTTCGCGAATTAGTTTACAAAATTCGCGCTCCAACTGAAAGTAATTCGCGAATTTTATGCGGATCCCGTCAAATCCGCGTTTTTGCGCTCCAAGTCGGGAGCGTCGACCCCTTCCTGGCGAATTGTGTGACCTAAGTCGGGGCGGGTACCTCAATACCCATGCCCCGCCCCACGCTAGTACGGATCGGGGCGGGTAATACCCGCGCGGGAACGGGGCGGGGCGGGTCGACCCACTCTTACATGCTATTTGAGAGAAATACACGCACAATTTTACTTTTTATGATAAAACGAAGGGGAAAATACTTGATGAATGAATAATAGTGATAATATAATAAGTAATTGAGTCTATTTAGTTGAAAGATCAAATCTAAATAGTTGAATAAAAGTCAAAATAGGAGATATATGAATGGATGGGGTAAAAAATTGAAATCATTGTGTTCAACATACCTCGACTTTCCAACATCTTTCCAACTGTGGGCTAGCACGTAGATCAAGTATGACAAGGTTTCTGGAGAAAATCTTGATGGTAGAGATTTCGAAGGGAATTTATGCCACTCCAACCATCTTAGTCTATCTGGAAGGGTGACAAGGCCTCTGTATGGTAAACGAACTTTAGAAGCTCGACACTCATTTTTTGAATAGGTGAACTTGAGAAAACTAAGAGATGTCATCCTTTCAAAGGCGTTGGCTTCCATGTGTATATCTGTGGCTTCGGAAAGGTTCAAAAGGATGCCTTCAATGTTTCTACCTCACTCAAAGGAACTCCCATGCTTCTCTTTCGGTTTCATAATGTTCAAATAGTTGAATATTCTTGATGTTTTGACATCTCCGACTGCCAATAACTTGTAAATATCATCATAATTCTTCAATCTACTGCGATTTTCAAGTTTTGATTCCTCATTAACTATAGCCCAAGCCATTTCCTTTAGCAAGTCATGAACTTCAATCCTCTCTAAACCTTCTCTTTCGCTGAAGACATAGCTAAGCAAAGATTTATTAATTAAATCCTCTAAGTAACTAGAAGGAAAATATTCAATCGCTAGAGATTTTATAAGCCTTGGATAAAAACAAGCAATATCCAAAAATAAACTTTTCTTGACAGTTTCAAGCTCACTGTAGCTTCTCCGAAGAACATCATCAATTTCCAGTTTTGGATTTTTTCCCAATTCATATAAGAAGCTCTCCCAGTAACTTCGTTGCTTATTAAGCAATGCACATCCCAAGACCTTTATAGCTAAAGGGCTTCCCTTGCAGTGTGATACGGCGACACCCGATAGATCCAAATAATCATCAGACGGAAGACAGTTTTTAAATGCATGTATCCCAAACAGTTGGAGCGATTCATGAGAATGCAAATGCTTCACCTCATATATATTAGCCCCTGCATTCTCAAGTACTCTTCGGTTTCTAGTTGTCACAATAATTCTGCTTCCAGGGCCAAAGAGATTTGCAGCCTGCTTATCTCCCAACAACAGTTGTTCCAATTGCGGTATTTTTTCCACATTATCAAGAACAAGGAACACCCTAAGACGAGAAAGACGCTCCCTTCTATAACCAATACCCATGTTGTGGCTGTCTAAGTTATCCGCTGACAATAATATCGAATAGAGTTCATGTACCATTCCTTCGATTCCATATTGATTTTCAAGCTTCTCATTTATATTCGGGACAAAGTGATACTTCATTTCTTTTTCAGAGGATACAAATGAGTGGTAGCAAGTTGTAGCAAGAGTGGTCTTTCCTATACCACCCATGCCCCAAAGACCAATAATGCGAAAATCATATACATTCATGGCTAATAGTTGTTCAACCTCTGAAGCTCGAACATCCATACCAACCAAGTGATCAGACTTCACTCTTGGCGAAATCTCTGCGAGTCTTTTCAGAACAACATTAACTATTTCCTCTACTAGATCGGAATCAATCCTAATAACCCCAAAGGGTAAAACAAAACCAAAACGGAAACAGAAACCCATATGAGAAAAGGGAAGTCATGTTTTGAGAGAAACAATTACTATTAGTAACAAGGTTGGCTCTTAATTAGGTAGTAAGGAAGACTTACTTGATTTCCTGTAAAGTATAGCCAACACAATTAGCGACAGCCTTCAAAGCATCGATCCATCTCTTTCTATCTTCTGGAGATTTGCTAGCTATATGTTTCTTTTTCCATATTTGTAGACGTCTAGTTCCATATTTCTGCTCTATGGTATTAGCGTAACTTCCAGAATCCTCGGATACATCCGATGGATCAACTTTGTAGAAAACGGGGAGCACTAGGTGTCCGAACTCTTCCATGCTTCGAGAAATGGTGGCCACTTCATCCAAGCACCTGCTTGAATCCGCAAAATTCTCCGAGAAAATCACAACTGAGAGTGCGGATCTTTTGAAACACATTCCTTCCTACTATGACATTATGAGATTTGCAGAGAAACAACTTACTTTCCTAGGCTGAAAATTGAACAGTAATAAAGTCATGTCATGGACAATAACATAAGGGATCTAATGGCTAAGCTAATTTGAAAGAGTTTAGTTCAGTAGAGGGTAATTTAGTTTGCTTTCATGACAACTAAAACGATACATAGATTACTAAAGATGATCCTACATGTTGTTTTTCCTGCTTTTGAACAAACCCGTCAAAAATCAATTAGTAGTCAAAATATATTAATGTCACAGTAATTACTCAGACTTCGTTGGGAAACTCGAGTTGGTATACAAGTGATTGCTGCGATTTTAAAATAATTAATATGTTTGATTTCCCGTCCATTCATTATGTTAATTATTAGAGTCGTTATTGGAATTGTGTCATTCATTTCTTCTTACTGCCGTCAGCTAAACTGACCACCATACCATCATATTCCAATGAAAATTAAGTTCATGCGGCATTTCGCAGCAGCCGCGGGCATTGATTCTAGTACTAATAACAAACATAAACATAGTGCTCTAACATTTATATATACCTGAGGATGTAGAAATAGCGCTGCAAGATTAGGGACATTATGCAGTATTTCTACAGGCAGCATCGTCTCCAATTGCGGCCAATCTTCAAAGTACAGTCACTTCCACCTCAGCCAGCCTTATATTGATTGGTAAGGCTTGTAACAACCCACAACCACTTTCATCCAAAACTGTCAGTACAATAGAGAGATGCCAATCCTTTTGATTTTGATGCTCGTTAATCTCTCGGGATCTTCTTCCTTGCTCGATTCTTTCTTGCTAGGTTGAAGGGAAAATCTGAACGGAACATTGAGCCCAGCATATCTTTCGTACCAAAGTTCTGCATCTTCGTGTATCCCTTCCTTGGTCTCACCTAACAAGTTCTTTTCATACCACATAAATACGTTATCTGATTGGGTGAAACCCAGACCGAAACTAGGTGAACTCCAAGAGGCAGTTGCAGTGGTGCCCGCATTGCAATCGCTTTCAATATGCATCCAAACATACCCAATATCCGAAGAACAAACAATCCCAAATATAATTCCCTTCATTAGACGCTTAGCAGTGCAGCTTGGAGGAGGTAATTGAACCATCATAGATGAATCATTCTTACAATTCACGCTTTTGTAAGCAAACCATTCTGGAATCTCTCTCCCCGGATACTGCAAAACCACCTGCCACCAATAGATAAGCACTCTCATAAAATGGATCTTAGTTTTTTTTTTCCCGTTGCTATCCATAATACTAATACAACACAAACATAATTCCAGTACTATAATATTTATATATCTGAGGATGCAGGGTCATAATTTCATGGCTAGGGAAATTATTCACCATTTCTTGAGGCAGATTCATGGCTAACTGTGGGCAATCTCCAAAGTACAGTTCCTTCCATCTCAGCTTGTCTATGTTGCTCGGTAAGGCTTGTAACAATTCGCAACCACTCACATCCAAAACTAGAAGAGTGGGTGGGAGGTCCGGCAAATATTGAATCCTCGGACAGCCTGCCAAGTGCAATGAGGATAAGTTGACGAGTTTATGGATGTTCTTCGGGATGAACTATAGGCTTTTGTTCAAAGATAACTGTAAAAGGTAGAGCTGGTCAAGTTCCTGGATACAAGAAGGCAGGCACTTAATACCCGTGTCATCGAAACGAATGCCCTGCAAAGATTTTAGATTGTTGATGCTAGATGGAAAACTCTTCAGTTTCCGACATCCTCTTATGCTGCGCAAAATTAAGCCATTGATAGGCAGTGAGACTTCTGGCAAAGTTTCAATCAATGGGCAATGATCAAGAATGAGTGTGTGAGAGATAATCTTCCAGATATTCCTTGACAAGCTCCTAAGTTGGAGGTTGCCAAACAACTCCAATCGACCATATCTCGGTAAAGAATCCTGGTGATCATCATCATCATAAGAATCCATCTCCCTAATTATGGTATAGCACAACCGAAACTCTTTCAAGCTTGTTGAAATCGCAGGGAAACTAGTGATGTGTTTGCCGTAGAGATGTAAGAAACCACCTTGCTTGATATTGTAAATTGCACCCGGCAAAGCTATGACCGAAGTACGCATTAAATTCAAATGTTCCAACTCTCCCGAATTAATCTCAGGACAATGAGTGACCTTGGGACAGTTGGACAAGCATACATACTTGAGGAACTTCGAGTTCAGTTTGGTCGGAAGTCTTTCCAGGTTTGTACAGTCTTAACAGTGGAGTGTTGTCAACTTGTCCAAATCTTTAATGTGAGATGACAACTCAATCAGGCTTTTGCATCCTTCAAGAACAAGGTACTCCAGATTCAGATACTCTGACAAGTTCGGGATTGCAATTAATTTTATGCAGTGGGAGAGGTTAAGCACCACTAGATTCACAAGCTTGGGCTGCAAGGACAAGAACATAAAATGAAGAGTGAATAAAAATAGTCACTTTTGAGAACTCATTCCATAAAGTTACAACCATCTTTTTAGTATTGGGCTACCACGTAGAGAAAGTGTGACGAGATTTTCGGGATAAAATCTTGATGGTAGATATTTTGAAGGGAATCCATCCCACCGCAACCTCTTCAAACTGTCAGGAAGGGTGTTGAGGCCACCATATGGTACATGAACTTGGGAAGCTTCGGACTAATTTCCTGGAAAGAAAAAGTCGAGAAATCTAAGAGAAGTCATCCCTTCAAAGGCGTTCGCTTCCAAATGCATATCTCTGGCTTTGGAAAGCTCCAAAACTAGAGATTTTTCCAATAATAGCACCTTTTCAAAAAAAATTACAAAACTAGCACACATCCGATAAAATTTACACTACTAGCACCTATTTTTATGGAACGCACCTTAGAGGTGCGTTTTATAAATAAACCGCACCCTAAGGGAGCGTTTCTAACATAAAACGCACCTCTAAGGTGCGCTTTATGCCAAGTCAGAATGGGAAACGCACCTCCAAGGTGCGTTCAACGTTTGGTGGCCAGCGGCCTTACAGTCCGCACGATTGTGGTGCGATCAAGCGGGCAGGAGCAATGCCACGTCAGCAATCCGCGCGGTGGATCGGAGAATGCACGGGGGAGGAGCGGTTTTCGGCCTTGAAAAACGGAGCGTCGCTTTTCAGAGCGGTCAGCTCCTCGAGAAGCGGAGACCGCATCGGAAGGATGCGTTTTCAGCGCTGGTAAAATTACCAGACCGCCCCTGGGGGGGTGCGGTCTGTTGGGTATAAATACCCCCCTTCCCCCCTCTCATTTCTTCACTCCACAACCCATTCTTCCTTCTCTCTCTAGATTTTATCTCTCTAAACCCTCCCCTCCCAAAAGCCTAAGAAATAGAAGTCTGTTGGTTGCGGCTAAGTCCGATCTGCCATCAGAAAATATTTCTTAGGTTTTTTCCTCAAAACCCGCCGAGCGGAGCCGAACCTCTGTCCGAATTTCCCAAAAAAAAAGGCCGATTGGTGGCAAGGAGAGGGAGTTTATGTCGATGAATTTCAAGCGGTACGTACTCATTATTCTGCTTTAATTTTTGTTGTTGTTATAAGCTTTTTAATTAATCTATGTACTAACGTCGTTGTTATTTTCTCGTAGGTTGGGGAGGACGTCGATATATACAACCAACGGTATTATCTCGAGCAAGGACCGTTGGATCCAACCGACTTGTACGACCAACCCAACCATCGGTCAAGGGATGTTTGGAACGCTCACCCGGTACATACAATTCTTCACCATTTGTCCTTCTTTTATTTTGTTAATGTGCCTAGTGTAATATAAAATAAATTTATGTTGATTTTTTAATCGTGTTGGTGGTTTTCAATAATTTAATCGAATACATAGCGCCACTTACTTCGACTCTTTATAAAGAGATGCACGTCTAAGGAAATGGGGCTTTAAGCGATTATCATATCCTCCCATTACCTGGGAAAATCGGGTATTAAGAGATCCTCGGATCCCCCCTTTTTCTGTCAAAAAGACTGCGTTTCTAAGAAGATGTATACCTCTTCTAAGAGTCTAACGAGTGTTTCTTTGTATTCGATTAAATTATTTAAAACAACCAATACGATTAAATTATTTACCAAACAACCAATACTATTTATTTTTATGTGCACAAAAAGAATTTTATTATTTTCAAACATTTGAATATGTATGTTTTTATTTAAATTATTATTTATTAACAATGTTATTTATGTTAATTAATTTAGTATGTTAGTTTTACGATAATATGTATGTACCTCTTTAAATTATTATTCATTGACAATGTTATTATGTTAATTAATTTAGTATGTTAATTAATTTAGGACGTTTGTTTTATGATAATATGAAATGTCTTTTTATGATAATAAAATTCTGCTTGATGTCGCATAATTTAATTTAATTAATTTAGTTATAAGAAAAAAAACCCTTACTAATATATAATAATTAACGTGTAAATTTTTGCTAGGAGGCACAAACAATAATCCGCTACAGGGGTACCACCAATGTGCTCTCATTCCACCCAGCTATCTTGCCCTTTCTTTCTCAAAAGGGCACGGTTAGACTTGATTAGGCATTTTAACGGCATCCAAATTGATCGCCAACTCATCACCGCATTAGCCGAGAGATGGAGAAAGGAGACCCATTGTTTCAACTTTAGAGAAGGAGAGGCCACCATCACGCTAAAGGATGTCGCCATCCTAACCCATCTGCCCATCGACGGCAAACCGGTGTGCGTGAGTGATCATCCCCCCGAGGATCGTGACGATATGCCCGGTTGGGTTCATTTCATCCACAGTCATTTGGGAGTGAAAGTACCGGTGAAGGGTTGCGTTGATGCGACCGATCGCATGCCACCAATGAGGAAACACCAAGTCTCAATTACATGGTTGACGAAGTATTTTAGAGACCATTACGAGAGTCATCCCCTAACCGAGGAAAGTCCGGAGGATGAGAAGGAGAGATATGCTCGTGTCTATCTCATAGGCATGATCGGAGGAGTGTTCTTCTCCA